CGCCACCGCTCGGAGGGCGCCGCGCCGAGAGTCGACCCGACAGTCCTTTGTTTCGAGCCCGCTGAGCCCAACGCCGACCCGTAGTCCCCCCGGTCTGAACCCACCTACCCACCGCCGCCTCCACCAACCCCGAGCCCCGCCTCCGCCCCGCCTCCTTCGGGATCCGAGGGCCGCCCATCGCCGGAAGTTCGACGCGTGACGTACGCGCTTACGTCAGCACACGCCTTCGACGTGGCGTTTCCTCCGGCCTCGCTTCCGGTAGGTGGATCAGTAAGCCGGGCGCGCCCGCGAGGTAGGGGGGGCTAGTGGGGCAGTGGGAAATCCCCTCAGAGCGCAAGCTCTCCCTCACCTCTCCCAAAGGCGTGGAGATTCACTTTCCTGGCTTTGTAGGCTGTCCGCTGCGTCCCTGTCCTTAAAAAGCAGGAACGACCGCAGTTTCTGATTTAGCAGCCGCTGTTTGCTGCGCTTTAGCTGCACTGGAGTGTTCGTACGCCCTGTTCCTCTCGCCTGTCCTGGTTGGAGATCTTGGTTCTGCCCGATTTTTAATTCTGAATACATTTGATTGGGAGAGGAGCCTTGGGATGAATGCCTGCAGCCTCAAAGTTGGTGATTACTCTTCCTCCTGACCCCCCTCCCCCAATGTTTGGCCAAACATTAGACAAGTTCCTGGATCCTAAATCGAAATCAGTACCAAAGGTCTTTGAGAAGGAGAAGCGTGTCAGCTGAGTAGTAGAGCGCTTCTCTGAGCTCTGAGTTGGATCCCATCAGCACACACCCACAGCTTCTCGGCTTGGAGTGAGCTTATTGAAACGATCCTGGACCTTAATCAGGCGGTCGGGTTTCAACCCTGGCGGACGTGGCCTTGTAACCTACGAAAATAATCCGTTGCGTGTACAAAGTGTATGACTTACTCCTCCCAGTGCTTCGTTTCCAAAACCTTTTAAGACAGAAGTAGGATCACATGCTCCAACATTATGATATTAAAGGCAAGTTTCAGCTTACACTAAAAGGGATGAACTGAGCCGATGCAAATTACTTTTAAGGACCATCAGTTCGATTGTATACATATATATGATTATATATTTTATTACACATGATATATATATATAATGTATTTCATATATGGTTTTATTATATATGATACATATATCATATGTATGATTTTTTTTCTTTGAGATAAGGTCTCACTGTGCAGTTTCAGGCTACCCTGTGCCACCACGCCTGGTTTGGAGCATAAATATAAGTGATTTTGTATTTATGTAAACAGGATTAAAGGGCCATTGCTAGTCACAGCTCACTTATTAAAACATTCTCTAACAGCTTCTGCAGTTATTAGACATAAATATAAACCATATTCTACTTATTTTGGCTTTCAGACTTCTAAGAAACACTAAAGAACAAAGTCCTTGTATTAAAAGGCAGAGGCTTTAATTTCTTGCCTTGCCTATTTGATTTGCTCTGTTGGGCCTCATAGTGTTGTTGCCTTCATTGTCTTTTTCTAATATGTAAGGTCATGGATATGGTAGGTGGGTAGGTGGATGGGACCCTTAAGTAGGGAGTAGCAGTAGGACAGTGAGCAAAGTGATCTAGCTTCTGGGGGTGGGGGAGACCATCTTTGAATGTCCTCAACACTGTGCAAACGTGCTGAACTACTGAACTAAGCTCTAGAAAGTATACGTACTACGGCCGGGGATTTAGCTCAGTGGTTCTGCTGCCTGCCTTACCGGCGCAAGAACCTGAGTTTGATCCCAGGTACCAAATAAAGAGAAAGTATATGTACTTTGTCAGCAGTGTACTGTTTCTTTACTTCATAAAGATGTCTGCCCACGTATTTATTTAGTTACTTGATAAGTATTTGAGTGGCTGTTGTGTGTCAGGTACTGGGTATATACTGGTGAAATAAAAATCTCTCTGTCCTCGTGCAGTTACAAGCTCGTTCAGCTTGTTCTTTACTTTCTCTTACCAAATACAGATATTAACCACTGCTTGGGCTAAGGTCACTCCAGAGTTGAGGCTGCCAAAATTCCTCTGGAAATACCTGGTTTAAACATTTTCCTTGATTGATTTCAGATGATTTGAGAACAAAAGAATCCTATCCATTTACTGAAGAAGTACAGTATTGTGGAATGACAACATACTGGCTTTTGAAGCCAAATTATTATCCTTAGCCTTTTTGTGGGAACATGAAAGTTATTTCAGCTCTAGGATCTTTGGTTTACTCATCTTTAAAACAGATAATAACTTCCTTGTGAAATATTGTTCATAATGGCAGTGTTCAGTAGTTTTCAACAGAAACTGCTGAAGAGTTGGTGTATCATAGAAAGGAGATATACTTAGAAAAAAATCCGTGTGAAAATGAAAAATAAATTTAAAACACTCTTTCCTACAATTATATGTAAATGGCCACGGAGCAATGCAAAACAAAGCAAAATCCAAAACACTAAGCCAAGGAGATGGGTGCTTTTACTTTCCTGTTCAATAAAAAATGGCTCAGTGACTTTGGTTAGGTGACTTAGTCCGTTGAGATATTTTCCCACATCTCTGACAGGTGTCCTCAGATTATGACAGAGAGATTATGCCAAGGGTCTACTACACAAAGTAGGTCAACCATAACACAAATAGCCCTGAGCCTTATAAATCCTGTATGTGGGTTTTAAGTTTCACCTGAGAATTCATGGATATTAAAACACCATTAACCTAACTTTCAAAATCATGGACTCTGTTGCTCACTCTCAACGGAAGTCGGATCTGTACTTCTGAGAAAATAACTGCATGAAATCCCAAAGTGGCTGACCTCAAGTAAATTCAGCCCTCATCCTCTAGTTGGAGGCCACCTAGAGGGGTACTAATTGGACAAGGTCCCTTACTCAGAATTAACAGCTTCTTCCCCGCTGCAAATTCTTGCCTATTTAAAGCTGCCCAGAGGACCCAACCCTCGTGGCGTACAGCGATTTTCGACTGCTGATTGGCTGGCTAGAGAGGGAAAGGGCGGGCAGAATGCGCCGGAAATGACGAAGCCGGAAGCGACTTTCCGCCGAGAAGTGAGGGGCGCGGGTTTGGAAACTGGGAAGCGAGTCTGAGACGGACGAAGGTGGTGATTCCCTGCATACCAGCCCTGCTCAGTTAACCAGGGACTCGAACAGTAACCTTTTTCTTGGGTTCTCTCTGCAACGTATCACTGCCTCCCCAGTTCAGTGATTTCCCTGAGCATCCTCAGAGGACCGGAGCCTGGTGTGGGGGCGCGGAAGCCGCTTCTGATCCGGCAAACGAGAAACCTTGGACGGTTCCACGCGGGTCCGTGCTTAGCTCGGCGTGAACGGTGCCTTCTCCCTGGACACCTGGTGGTCACGACCCTGTGGGTGGCTGCTCATTGTGAAGACAGTGCTGTTTGTAGTTGGGAAAGAAAACTGCGTTCCCAGCATCTCTCTCTTGAGGACCTAAACAAGGAAAAAAATGCCTTTTTTCCCTAAAATATCTTTAAGACCTGAGGTTGAGAACTACCTTAAAGAGGGCTTTATGAATAACGAGGTAGGTCACATAAACACATTTAATTTTTGCGAAGATTTAAGCATTTACAAGTCCTAGAGAAATAAGTCTTAACGGGAAATTTTTACAGCCTGTTTTTTAACCACTTGTCTATCCGAATGCGAGTAAAACCAAATTATCTTTTCACAGATACAAATGCCTACTGAGACAAGAGGTGAAAAAAGGTGTACGTTTTAACATTTAGATGTTGGAAAGAAGGAAAACACTAATAGTGAAGAAGTTACAAGATACGAACAAGAAAGATCTGTTTTTATCCAGTGTATAAGATACACCTGTTGTCTTAAACAGCTTGCTCCAGCATTCAGATGCAAAGGATAACTGTGATTTGCCTCTGTAACTGCTGTCAGTTTTTGCCAGCTGTGTTGACACATTTTTTTCCCCCCCAATCTATTTTGGTGCACATTCTAATAGGTGAGAAAAGTCGGGGTCCAAGAATCATGTAACTAATCCAATTACCATAGTTATCAAGTAACTTGAAACCTGAAGGCATAGGGCTTAGGTGTAGGGCAAAAGAAATTCATATTTAGACTCTGAATCGCTTGTTTTGCGTTCCAGGTTTTTGAGTAAAATTAGGTCTCATTTTTATTTCCTCTTACGTGAAAATTGAGGATGATTGAAAATACAGTTTCAAGGTGTCAGGTTTGAGTGAAAGTGACTTCCATCGTTTTTACCACGTAAGTCTTCAAAGTATGTTTTTTGCTACTGGCAGTGCCTGTCACAGAAGTCTTCAGTGAGTGTTGATTGTCTTTGATTGTGAAGCTGTGCTCCATTCCCCTCGAGGCAACTTTGCTTTTTCTGAAGCCTTGGTTTCCTGTCAGGTTTCTAAGCCCTTTTTGCCAAGCGTATTATTGTTAAGTGTTCATTAAATGTTACTCATTCTTGGAATATGTTTTTGAAGCCAGGACTTTTAGATCTGGTGTCTCTGTTCAGCATTTATTTCCGTCGTTTTTGTTGAGTTTGCTTTCTGTTTGTTGACTTTGGTGTTTGGAGACGCAGTCTCTCAGGGTAGTCTGGGCTCGTCTTCAACTTGCTGTGTAGGCCAGGTTGGCCTTTTAACTCATGATACTCCTGACTCACCCTCCTGAGTTGTGATTATAGGCATTCACCACCTTGTTCTCCAATACTTTTTTAAATGATAAACATTTTATAGAAGGTCCAAATATCTTGTCTTTGACACCCTCTTTTTCAAACCCACAATCTATATGATTTTACAAAAAGGAAAGCCATGCCCTTGTGAAAAAGCATGGAAGGAAGAGGAATATTTGATATTACCTAAAATTTGAGAAAGAAATGTGCAGACTGGTGGATCAGTAGGATGTTAATTGGTGTATAAAGATTCTATGAGGCAGGGTATAGTCCCCCTAAGAGGAAAGTACATGCTTGAGCTGGTCGTGGTGGGGCATGCCTGGAATCTCAGTACTCAGGCTGGGGCAGGAGGATTGCTGCAAGTTCCAGGCCAAACTGCACTGCAAAGCAACACCCTGCCTCAAACCCAAAAAACAAAAACAAGCCCCCCAAAAATATGTTCTTGAAAAGCTTCAGTTAGTTACAAGGGAAGCTGGTTGAGTCTTTATACCTTTATTTCTGACAGGTGTGTTTGTTAGTCTACCCATCCTTTTATGGAACATATATATTTGTTACATTTAATTAAACCATATTAAAAAGCTGATGTACTGGGGAATCTTTGGATGACAGTGAGCATATTAATATTACTTATACTTCAAATATTGGTGTTTCAAAGGGCTCCTAACCAGTTTGCTCCCACCTGTGTTTGTGAATAGCTCTACAGAACTGCTATGAATAGTTAACGTGTAAAAATAAGTAGAATGAGATCTTGAATTTATATAGATAAATGTAGTGGATATTAATATTTTCAAAATATTAATGCTTCAAAGTTGACACTTTTTCTGAGCCTTTATTTCAGGTGTGGTGTTATGTGTTTATTACCACGATTGAATTCAAGAACCCTGTGAAGCATTACCATTTCCTTAGCGTGAACTAATACAGAAAAGATACCCCAGAGTGAAACTGAGCTGAACAGGTGTTTCATTAGATGAAACAAATGTATAGTCATATTCTGCTGATTATTTTCAATTTGTATGATGAAATAAAAACATTAACTTGTTCTCTTCATTTCAGGTTGTATCTGCGTCAGGCAAAGAAGCAGCAGAAAGGAAGTTTGAAACTCTGTTAAATCACCTGTCACATCCTCCATCTTTCACAACTGTTAGAGTGAATACGCATTTAGCCTCAGTTCAGCATGTGAAAAAAATGTTGCTTGATGAACTTCAGCAGGTTTGTGTGAATTTTTTGTTATATTCAACTAGATTTCTATAGTTTTAGTTGTGCCTCATTAAAACCCTATGAATCTTGTATTCTAATTTTATAAATGAGGAAATTGAGACCCATGAACATTCTGTTTTCAGGGTTACATAGTGATAATGTTAGAACTTGAACCAAGAACTTCTCATTCTGAATGTATTAGGTTTAAGGGTAAGCTTGAGTCGTGTGGGTTTCACTTCTTCATTAAAATATATGTGACGAGCCGGGCGTAGTGGCGCAAGCCTGTAATCACAGCACTGGGGAGGTAGAGGCAGGGGGATCACTGTGAGTTTGAGACCAGCCTGGTCTACACAGTGAGTTCTAGGTCAGTCTCAACTATGTAGTGAGACCCTGTCTCAAAAATAAAAAAACCAAAGTGTGATGAGGGTCATTCTAAATCAGTCTGTTATCTCATAATCAGAATATAATGAGTAGGGCAGATTATGTACTGTGTGATAAGGGGAATACTTAGGTAGATATTGAAGTACCTTGTTATCTTTAATAAAATAGAACAATATGAGTAATCTATTTTAAAATCTATTTTAAAAAATTGTTCAAAGGGCAGTCAGGTGTGCATGTACAAATTTTCATATCTAGCAAATTATTTGTAAAGCTTGGGTATTCTGTTATACCAGCCTGATGGGGATGTAAGATCTCATGAACCAGGTCAGAGTTAGGGCCGACAAGTAGGTCACTCTGGGTTTTTACTTCCTTTCCAAAGATTAAGATTGGACAGAAAAGCCTGGGTCATAGGCACTGGATAGGAAACTGGTAGAGTAGTTCCTGAATCTAACAGGAAAGGAGACTTGGAATAGTATTAAAATGTTATGTATGTCATAAGGAGACATCCCTACTGGTATACTAGGTGTTTTTTCCTCATATTTGTTTGGAGCACCTATTGGAATTGAAAAATTGTACATTTCATTTGGCAGCAAGGACAGAAGGAAAGTGGAACCTTCATACATTCCAGTTGTAATGCAAAATAGTATGCTGTCTTTGGAAACTAGTTTAGTAATTTCTTAAAAGATTAAATAAGAGCAGGGGATTTAGCTCAGTAGTTCTCTCGCTTACCTCACAAGCAAGGACCCGAGCTCGATATGCGGTACCAAAAAAAATAAAAAATAAAAAAAAATAAACAAAACTACTCGGCAACCCAGCAATTTCACTCCTATGAATTTGCCAAAAAGAAATAGTCATATGTCCATGCAATTTCTTTTGTTTTTATCAGTACATGTTTGCAGTACATGTAGTTTACATTCATCTTGGGGAGTAAGAACATGTACATAATACAGCGTGATTCCCTTTTTTTAACCCTCTTCCCTCCTGCCTTCCTCCCTCCCACATCCTTCCCTCTTCCTCTAAATCCCCTTTCCCACATTTGTTGTTGCTGATATCTCTAATCTTTTGTTTATGACATGTAATATTTACATCAATTTAGGTTGTTAGGTTCATGTACATGGCATATCTTTATTCTACTGACTGCATCTGCTCCCACTTGCTGATGTTCTCTTTGACCTCTCGCTAAAATGAAAGACCAGCCAAGAAAAGCGCAAGTGAGGGCCTGGGATTTAGCTCAGTGGTACCGCGGCTTGCCTCGCAAGTGCAAGGTCTTGAGTTCGATCCCTGGTACCAAAAAGGAGAAAGAAAAGGACAGACACTTCTCAGAGAAAGAAGTACAAATAGCCAACAAACACATGAAAAAGGTTCAACATCCCTGGCTGTTAGGAAAATGCAAATTAAAAAAATACTAAGGTTCCACCTTAAACCAGAAAGAATGCTGATCATTAAAAAATAACAAATGCTGGTATGGCTGCAGCGGAAGAAAAACCCCACCTACATTGTTGGTGGTAATGTAAACTAGTACAACCATTGTGGAAATTAGTATGGACATTCCTCAAAAGACTTAAATTAGACCCTGAGTCCCTGGACCATGTTGGGGTGCCACTTGTGGTCGGCTCACCCAAGCTGGCCTTGTTCAGGGACCCAGAGCCACTAGTTTGTTCCTCCCTGACCCGGGGGCAAATGAGGATGAGTAATAAAGAGACCCAGAGTCAGCTTAACAGTAGGGCAACCAGGAGTCTAGCAGGCAGAGAAGCCCCAGGCCTTTGGCTTGCCTCACTTTTATTCATCCAGACACGGGCAAGATACAAATGAAGAGCACAGTAAAGGATGGCCAGAAGGAGACAGTGGAATAGATCTCTCGAAAATGGGAAGAAGTCCAAGAGAATGTGCATAGAAATTCTTGAACATGAATGTTTAAAGTGGCATTATTTATAATGAGAGGATATAATCCATCAACCGCTGACATAAAATGTAGAATATCCACGTACAGTGGAATATGTCTACATTACAGATAATACTCAAATGCTACAACATGGATTAATTTCAGAAACATTAAGTGAGAGAAGCAAGACAGGATACACCACATACTGTAGTATTCCATTTATATACAATGTACAGAAAAGGCCAATTTATAGAGAAAGATTCCTGGAAATGGGGACAGGGATCAACCTCAAATGGGCATGAGAAGTCTCATTGGAGTGATGGAATGATCTCAAATTGGATCATGATAAATTTGTGCTATTCTTTAAATTTACTAAAAATCATTAAATTGTTTAAATTGGTGAAGTTCTTGTTATGTAAATTATACCTCAGTAAGGCTGTTTAAAAAATAGCAGAGGACAAACAGGAAAAAAAAAAGCAGATAGTAATAGTTATTCATGTGTATGATCTTAAAATACTCCTGATAGAAAGGGGAGGAGAAAGCTCTTCGTTTGAGAAGAACTGATTTCTATAGGAAACATTTTTAGTTGGTACAAGTTTGTCATCGTAGCTACTGGGCAGCTGAGGGAGGAGGATCACAAATTTGAAGCCAGCCTGGGAAACTTAGTGAGATGTTACCTGAAAAGTAAAATGAGATGGGGAACTAGAAAAGATCTGTTTACCATGGTTGTTAATATAAGGCTAACAAAAAATAGGGAGGATGGGAAAAAGGAAGATGCGTCTGATTAAACGAGGAGAAACTTACCCTTTAAATTGCTTGTTAGCTGGGTGTTAGGTATGGGTACCTTCTGAAATATCCTCTGGAAGAAATCAAGACAGGTGTTGCTTTTGTAAAAATGTAGGTACATTAAAATATGGAAATTTGTTTCTCTGTTACCTTAAGTTGATTTAAGGTTTTCTAGATAGTTTACAGAGCAGTGCACTTATGTAGTCGTTCATGTATGTGAAAATTAATGTTTATAAATCCTAGCCTACGTGGCATAGACTTCTGAACTATTTGCACGTTTTTCTCTTCGGGGGGGTATATATAGTTTCTATTATCTAATCCGTTAGTTTGCTCTTTATTCTGTTACATAGGGTGCTTATGTGACTTCTGCTCCAATATCGATATTTTGTAAGAACCCCTTTTCCTAGTAAAATAACCCTGATTTGTGTTGTTTTGCTAATGTCTGTGGTGTAAATACTCCCATTATGGTAGATTTTAAGCTATCAACATGACCATGGAATTGAGAAGGGATTTACACAGTGAGCCCGCCTGAGCTGATGCCAGCACCTGGCGCACTGGCATTGTACCTTTCTCCAGTCTGGCCAGCCAAGTGTGACTGACAGGGGTAATGAAAATCCTGAATCTGCTAATAACGTTTTTTCCTCCCACTGAAGCTGAGGTGGCTTCTGTGTTAATGGTGAATATTAAATAGAACTTAGTACTTCAGTCTTTAATGTCCTAGTTAGAAAAATTCTTTGACTTCTACGTGTTTGCTTTGCTTTGTTTTTTGAGACTGAGTCTCACTGTGGAGCTCAAGCTGGTCTCGAACCGATGATGGTCCTCCTGCGTCAGCCTCCCAAGTGCTGGGGTTACAGGTGTGTGCCACTACACCTGACCGTTAGATAGTTTTCATACTAATTTAAGGCAAACATAGCTTGTGCTTATAAAGCCAAACAGTAAGCAAAATTGAGTCTTAGAAGTCAGGATACTTCATATATTAGCTTTCCCATTGCTAGACATAGTACCCCTTGAATACAACTTAAAGGAGGAGAGCTTTATTTGGCTCACAGTTTCAGTGAGTCTAGCCTATAATTAGCTGGTTCCAGGGCAGAGGAGAGCTGTTCAATATGTGCCACCCGAGCAGCAAAGAAGGGAGGCTATGGACCAGAATATACCCTACCAGGTCATGCCTCTAGTGGCCCACCTCGTCCAACCAGACCCTACCTTCAAACACATGAGAATTTTGGGGGACATTTTAGATTAAACCATAAAATTCTTATCTCTGCCCCCACAAGACATATATCTTATCTCCTTATTGCAAAATGCACTTAATCATCTCCAAGAGTAAGCAAAATCTTAACAGATCCAGCATTGCTGAAAAGTCTAAGCCTAAAGTCTCCCCTGAAACTCAAAGCAAACTGTTAGCATTTAGCTCCTGTAAAAATCAAAAAGAAAGTTAACTTCCAGCATGCAATATGGGGTAGATATTTCCATTCCAAAAGTGAGAAATGAGGGTATAGAAATGAATCAGACCACAGCAAGACAGAAAAGCAGTAGAGCAAACATTAAATCCTGTAGCTCCATATCTTACTCTGGGGCAGAGGCTGTGAACAGAAGTGAACTCCGAAGGACTTGGCCAGCCTGACTCTTATTCCTTGCTGTGCAGCCCACATTCCCACTCTGTTGGACTGGCTCTGCTTGCCGTTTGTGGGAATCCATGTCCTGGCATCTGTAACTTCCTGGACTCTGTAGTACACATTTGCCTTCACTCTCACAGTTTTACATATCTCCCTTGGGCATCTGGCATGGATTATTGCACTGCCATGCATTTGTGCCTGGTCTCCTAGTCCTTCTTCTGAAATCTGGGCAGTTGCTTCTGTGACCCAATATCTCTTGTATATTGTTTGGCTGAAAAACCACCATGTGGCCGATGCCAGTGTCTGCTGCTGGCTGTAGTAGTAGCCTGGCCCCTTGAACCATGGGTGCAATGGCCTGTGTTTTTGGATGTCTTAATTGGGGAGACATTTCTGTAGGTGGCCCTGAATTAACTGGATACTCTGGGGCTCTCTTAAAGTCTTTCAAAGGATCCTTTTACACCCTTAAGCATGCAGTGAGTTGGGGTCTGGCCATATCATAATATGCCCTGGAGGCATCTTTCCTATTATCTCTGTACAAAATACTCGGCTTCTTTTTGGTACTAATTTTTCCAACAAACAGTCTGTCAGCTTTATAGGTGCTTTCTTTCCTCCCAAGCTGCAAATTTTCCAAATAGTTCAGCTTTGTTTTTTGCTTGTAATTCTCACAGTAGATCAGCTAAAAAGAGCCAACTGTACTTACGCCACAGCATGAATGTTGGGTTGCCTTGAAGTTTTCTCCACCAAATCAATTTGTCTCCTGTCTTTCATATTCCCATGGCTTACACCATTGGTGGTGTGTACATGATTGTCCTGTTGGGCAGCTTAAACCATGGGTGGTTAGCTATTTTAATGATGGAATTGAAATCAGAGCCACCTGGCAGCAAGACATATGAATTATGGCCCCATTGTGAATGTGTTAAATTTAGCCTCACACGAAGTCTTAGAATATGGACAAAACATAGACATATTCTTTGCCAGAATGAAACATACCTGGCCACGGTCTTCTTTCCATTACAGTCCTTATTTTCATCTGAAACCTCCTGAGCCTATTCTTTACTGATTGCATTGCTGTCAGTGTCCTGGTCTTCTGAGCTCCAATTAGAATCACCCACCAAGGTTGGTTTACAAAAGTCTAAGCCTTCTGTACCTGGCATCTCTAAATCTTTCTCCTGAAAACCAGTCCCAAAGACTTCTAAACCACATGGACAGGTACAATCACAGTGACCACTCTATTTCTGGTACCAAGTTTCCTTGTTAGTTGGCTTTCCCATTGTTAGGTATAATAGCCAACACCTACAGCTTAGAGGAGAGATTTATTGGGCTCACGGTTTCAATGGTTATCTGGCCCTGAGGCAGAAATGGCATAGTGGATGAATGCTGCTTAACTCATGGCAACCAGGAAGCAGGGGGAGAAAGGAAGACCCACGGACAAAACATGCCCTTCTAGCTCATGCCCCCATTGATGAGTCTCTTCTGAGCAGTCTCCACCTCTGAACACAAGAGACTTTTGGGGGAAATTTTATTTTTTTATTTTATTTATTTATTTATTTATTTATTTATTTATTTTTGGTTTTTTGAAACAGCATCTCACTATGTAGTGGAGACTGACCTGGAACACTATGTAACTTTATTTTTTTATTTTATTTATTTATTTATTTATTTATTTATTTATTTTTGGTTTTTTGAAACAGCATCTCACTATGTAGTGGAGACTGACCTGGAACTCACTATGTAACCCAGGCTGGTCTCGAACTCACAGCGATCCTCCTGCCTCAGCCTCCCAAGTGCTGGGATTACAAGCATGCGCCACCACGCCCGGCTGGGAAATATTAGATGTAAACCATAACATCTCAGAATGAGAGAAAATGTTTTGAGATAGTTTGGTTTCTATTTTCTATGGTATAAAATGAAATTGCCTAAACTGAGCTGTGATAGATAGTGACACTGACAAATTCTGTAAATTGAAATTTATCGAATATATTGAATGCTTTATAATTCTGTATGTTTATTTTTAACAGCAGTTTAATGGATTAAGTGTTCCTGTTCTTCTGCATCCAGACCTTCAGGATGTTTTACTTATTCCTGTGATTGGACCCAGGTTTGTGACTATTTCATTTTAAAATTATATTTTTCTTAAAAAAAAATCTAACAGGATTTTTTTTAAATGTTTAATCATAATACTGAGTTTGTTGTTAGCAACTTTACAAACAGATTCATAAATTCAGGCTTCATACTTTGTTACAGAAAATACTACAGGAGAAGACAAGGAATGGTCTGCAGTACCTTGAGCATAATACATTGTAGGCCTAAATAATGCAGTGCTGAACATTTTTCTGAAAAATGTTCTGAAAAGTTTTCTTTCACTTGTTTATTTATATTTCTTATGAGATATCAGTGCTAAATTAAAATTTTTTTGAGGTGCAACAAAACTACCAAGGAACATATTTCCTACTTTCATAGTTGAGGTTGTTCATAAACTTTTATTAATAATTCTTCAATTAGTTAAATTACTGTGTACCAGGCATTGTTTTACTCATTTATATATTGGTGGGGCATATATTTGAAATTTGAAAAATCTTTCATATTTTAATGGTATTTGTGTACCCAAGGAGCATTTTAAAGTTCCTAATTATGCTATAAAAATTTTTAAACTTAAAAGGATTCTAATAACTATAAAAATGCTCATTTTTTAAAGCTTTAAAGTAATTTAGTAGTCAGCAATAGAAAAACAATTTAATAAATTATGGCTTATCCATATACCCAATATTTTGCGGCCTTTTACAACAAGAGAATTACATGTATAATTAAGAAGATGTTCATGATCTTTGAAGTATCAAGAGCAAATTGCTGTACTTAAGATAATTATAACTTTTTTGCAATAAAAAAGGGAAGCTACATATTTATTTACGTTTACATATAGAAAAAGTTTGGAAGCTACAACTTACCCAGCAATTAACAGTGGCTAACTGTGAGGAGGTTAGATTGAGCAAAAGGGCTTACGGAGATTTTTCACTTCTAACATTATTGTTTTATTTTTTATATGTTTTTTTTTTTGTAATTAAATTTTGTAGGCTATTCTTTCTATTCAGTTTGTTGTCGTTGTTGTTGTTATTTGTTTGTTTTTTTATGGTACCAGGGATTGAACTCAGGACCTTGTGCTTTCGAGGCAGACTGGGTGCCACTGAGCTAAATCCCTAGCCCTCTATTCAGTTTTTGTATGATGAGATGTGTATACTGTAAAAGGAAGAGCTCTTCGGTATACAGTTTGGTGAGTTTTGCCAAATAAATGCTGGTGGTTAATCATGATCCGTAACCTCAGATGTAGAGCATTTCCACCAGCTCATAAAGTTCTCTTATACTCTGCTACCCTACTGGGAAACGGATGTTTCAGTTTCTATCATTTTGTAATTTTGAACCAGTGAGCTGCTATAGTAGATCACAGTCACAAGTCTTTTGAGGTTGCATTCCTGGTGAGGATATGGAACTGTAGTTGATTAGGTTGGCTGCTTCTTATTCTGTCAAATGTCTTTATTCTTTAGTTTTATCCAGTATTTTCTCTTGTAGAGAATAGAGTTAATTGGGTGTTTCTTCTTTGTAAAATTAAGACAAATTTATTAAGAAATTAGACACTTACAGAAGCATAAAATTATCAATTATATTTCCTGTCACACTTGTCAGTTCTGTTTCTCTAAGCATTGAATTTGAATTCTGTTCCTTGTGATTTTACCTGCACAGTTGAATGAACATGTGCATTCATTTGTACACATTTTTAGAAAAGAATTTAAAAATCCTGTAAAGTTCACAGTTGCTTTTCTGTTCACTTAATATTTTATCTTTGCTTGTTCATAATTTTTCATGATTTATGCAGTACTGTTTCTAGCTACATAGATAATGTTTTATCAGGGAACTCAATTATAATTTTTTAGATTTATTTTTTAAATTAATTTTATTGGTTCATTTAAGGTATGCAATGTAATGATATTCATTGTTGAGAATTTGTACCTTTACATAATCTTGGTTCTTGGGTTTTTTTCCCCATCTCCCTGCCCTCCCTTTAACCCCTCCCTCCCTCCCTCCCTATCTACAAAGACTTTGTTTCCATTATGTTTCATTTGTTTATATTAATTCCAATCCCTTCTTTCATTTCCCTTCCCCTTTGTCCCTTTTCCTTGATTTCATATTATCTGTTACACCCTTTAGTCCTTATTTACACTTTCAGTTTCTCACGGTAGAGAAACTCCTTGGTATTTATGAATGTGTATCCTATTTATTTCACTTGAGAATATTGCCTCTGTTCATCCATTTAGCTATAAATGTCTGTGATTTCTCATTTTTTATGGTTGAGTAGTACTCCATTTTATTAAAAAACCCACATATTCTTTATCCAGTCTCCTTTTGATGGGCATTTGGGCTGCTTCCAAGTTTTAGCTATTAAAATTGTTCACATATAGCGCTGTGGTATGATTCTTTCAATTCTTTGGGGAAGATACCAAGCAGGGGAATAGCTGGGTCAAATGGGACTTCCAATCCTAGTTCTTTGAGGTATCTCCATACTGATTCTTGTACCAGACTATACTCCTACCAGCAGTGAAGCAGCGTTCTTTCCCCACAGCCCCACCAGCATTTGTTATTGGTTGATTTCATGGTAGCAGCCATTCTTTCTGGGGTGAGGTAGAATCTCAGTGTTGTTTTCATCTGCGTCTCTCAAATGACCAGTGATGTTGAACATTTTTTCATATGTTTATTTGCTGTTTCTACTTCTTTGTCTAGAAATGTCTGTTCATTTCAGATGCCCATTTTTGGATTGGGTCTTTAAATTTGTGGAATCTGATTTTTAAAATTCTTTATATATTCTAGATAGTAGACCTTTGTCTGAGGAACTCCTGGTGAAAAATTTTTACCACATTGTGTGTTGTCTCTTCACACTGTTGGTCATTTGTCTTGTTGTGCAAAATCTTTTTAATAAGAAGACATCCCACTTGTTGATTATTTGTTCATGGGCAACTGAAGTTTTGTTCATAAAATCTCTATCCAGCCTCTCTTCTAGCTAGTGTAGCATTTGCTTTAATATTTAATATTTTAATATTTAATCCATTTCGATTTTAGTTTACTGCATAGTCAGAGTTATAGGTGTAGTTGTAATCCTGGGCAAGTTGAAATCCAGTTTTTCCCGCACCGTTTATTTTTTTAATTAATTATTTTTTTTGGTACTGATTATTGAACTTGGGACCTTGTGCTTGTGAGGCAGGTAGTGGAACCACTGAGGTAAATCCCTGACCCTCTAGCACCATTTATTAAAGAGGCCATCTTTCCTCCAGTGAGGGTCTTTGGCTCCTTTGTTGAAGATGATGTGGCTGAGTACATCTGGAGTTGTTGTTTCTGCATGTTCTAATCTGTTTCACTGGTCCTCAAGTCTGTTTCTCTGCCAGTATCATTACATCTGGAGTTGTTGTTTCTGCATGTTCTAATCTGTTTCTCTGCCAGTATCATGCTATTTTTATCATAGGTAAGCTTTGTTGTATAGTTTCAAATTGGGGATTGTGATTACCCTTTACCTTCACTTTATTACCTAAAATTGCTTTTGCTACTCTAGGTCTCTTGTTCCAAATGAATTTTTGTATTTTTTTTCTCTAGTTCATTGAAATATACTGCTGGTTTTTCAGTTGGGATTGCACTGAATCTATATGCCGGTTTTAGAAGTATGGACATTTTCACTATGTTGATTTTTCCTATCCAGGAGCAAGAGATGTCTTTCCATTTTCTGATACCCTGTTCAATCTCTTTTTTCAGAGTGCTGTAATTTTCAGAATAGAGGTCTTTGATTTCTTTTGTTAGGTGGATTCCTAGATATTTCAAGTTTTTTGATGCTATTGTGAAAGGAACTGATTGCTCCATTTGTTTCAGTCTGTTTTTTTATGTACAGAAAAGGTACTGATTTTTGTGTGTTAATCTTATATCCAGCTACTTTACTGAATTTGGTTATAAAATCTACAAAACTTTTGGTGGAGTTCTTGGGGTCTTCTGTATAGAGTATCATGTCATCTGCGGATATTGACAATTTGACTTCATTTCTTCCTTTAATTTCTTTCTCTTGTCTAATTGCTGAGGCTAATGTTTCCAAAACTATATTGAACTGGAGTGCTTATAGTGGACAGACATCCTTGTCTTGTTCCTGATTTTAGCATGAAGGATTTCAGTTTTTGACCAGTTAGTATATGATACTGGCTCTTGATTTTTCATAGATAGTTTTTATCAGATTGAGGTAGGGGCCGTCTGTTCCACTTTTCTGTAGGATTTTTATCATGAATGTGCGTTGGATTTTGTCGAATGCTTTTTCTGCCTCTATTGAGGTGATCATATGTTTTCTTTGGCTCTCTTAATATAGTGTATTATCTTTATTGATTTATGTATGTTGAACTGAGAAATTATTTCTGATTTCATGTTTTCCACATCCTCTTTCGTTGCCAGTTCAGGGAGTCCAGGTGGTTGATAATCAGATTTGTCCATCTTGTTTCCCTTTGGGGTCACCTTAGGTGATGTGGAAGTCTGGTTTTGGGACTTGTTTCCTTGTCTTCTCATTTCAGCAGATGCAGCCTACTGTGCCCTTATTGAGGCAACTTTTTTGCTCACCGGGTATTCTTTAATTGTCAGCCAGCCACCAAAAGGCCTTTTCTCTGCTGCCTACCAGCATACCATCTCTTGGGTTCGGAATGATGGCCTTCTGGATCCCTGAGCTCACCTGTTGGCTGGGGCCTGAGCGCACTTGGGATGGTATCTAGTTGTTCCTCTTGCTGGGGCCTCTATGTACTGTGCTGTGCTCCCCAGTTCCTGTTGTCTGAGCAGGCTTCTGACTAGGGCCTCCACCAGAGAGAGTATAGGGGTGAGCCTCTGGCCAAAGCTTGTTTGCCTGTGTGCTCTTTTCCAGGTGGGCCCTGGCTGGGCCGGTGTGCCTGAGCCTCTGAGGTCAGGGCGGATCCCTGGTTAGAATCTACCTGCAGCCACCTAGGTCTGGACCACACTGCTGCTCCCTGGGATCTGCATGCGCTCATCCATGCTATGAGGCGGGCCCTCAGTTTTAATTTTTAACTCTGTATCAATACATACTGTTTTTCCTCATTTTCATTGTTGCCAAGAGTGTCAAATTTACGGACTTGTGTATCTGCAGAGTACAAGAGCACCACACAGAAATACTTGTTCCTCGTGAACTCTGATTCAAAAGTGGCTCTCTTGTCACTAATACCTACATTGTCTGTGTTCTCTGTGCTTTTCTTTGCTTATCTCTAAAATGGGTTTAAAAGTACTTTCTAGTTTGGGGGTTATTGTGAATTTAGAGTAGTGAATGGCACATTGTAGATACTCAGTAGGTGTTAGCAATTGATATCTCTCTCTGCTTCTAATTTTTTTCTTTTAGACAATCCCTTATTTTCTGAACTCTACTAGTTCAGTTTTTAATTTTTTTTGTACTTAGTCCCCTTTTAGAAGTCTTTTTAGTTTCTTTGAAAATACAAAGATCCTTTTGAAGTATTTCCCTTTTTGTTCTTTTTTTTTATTGGCCTTTGTCTTATTTAATTTTTTTGTACTAGTTCCGCATAGGGTCCATGTTGAATGTTGAACACAGCTTGCTGCTTCTCACTCACTGACGGAAATATTTGCACCCTGGTTTGCAGTTTGCTGAAGAACTGCACAGAGTGGGTTGGGTAAAGAGAGCACCTTTGCAGTTGGTGAGACACGTTTCCCAGTACTTTTATCAGGTCTTGGCTTGTAGCATAGCTTGTGTGCTGGTGAGCACAGGTGATAATAATTGAACATCTTGATGAAGGTTTCTGGTTCACCATGAGCTACCCTTACCAGTTAATACAGACACTTGTCCTTTAAGAGCCGAGGTCTGTGCCTGCAGCTAAGCCATGAAATGAATCGGTTGCTAAATGAGGGAATGTAAGCCACGGTCAAAGGAAACTCCAGCTTGATGACTTTCCTTTATTTGCATAACTGTTACATGCAGCATTTTAATGTAGAACATAAAGCTACAGTACTGTACAGTACAATAAGTAAAAATTATTATGTAAACAAGGTGTGCTGTACAAAAAAGACATTGAGGCTCTGCAGGCAAGATGTACAGAACTGTACCCAAAAAGATGGGCTGTAACAGTCATTAAACCGGTAGGTCATTAAACAAGGAATATGTGTGGTGAGGACCCTCCCGACAACTAAATTCTCAAGCACCAGTCAAGGGCCAGCCTTATAAACAGACCTTCCAGTGGGTAGCAGTGTAGGCCTGTTTTGTGTTTTTTAGGGTTTTTGTTTTTTTGTTTTTTTTTTTTGAGACATGGTCTCACTATGTAGCCCAGGCTGGTCTGGAACTCACAGCAATCCTCCTGCCTCAGCCTTCCAGTGCTGGGATTACAAATATGTGCCACCACACCTGGTAAGGCGTGTTATATTAACTCTTTTCTGCACAGTTGTCCATTCCTGAGTTCATGCTTTTCTCTCCTTATTAACACTGCAGGGTGCTATTTCACAAAACATGTTTTTAATTTGTGCTATATGTAAGATGCAAGAGTCATAAAAGACAAAGGAGACATAGCTGTTCAGTCTAAAGGCAGGGAACTTTGATCCAAGTCACAGTGTTAGGATTCCCATAGCAGAAGTATAAATTTAATGTTAATGGAGTGTAAAATGGGAAGGACTGAGTCCACAGAAAGTGGTAAAGATTTTTTCCAAGCAGACATTCTTCCAGTTGGTTGTAAAGATGAGTAGAAATTAGGCTGAGATTCAGCTGCTGAATTGGCTTTCAGAAGGATGAGTGAAAATTTATAGAGTATGGAAGTTGAAAAGGCAGTCTGTGAAATGTAAAAGAAAATAAAGGATTTTTTTAAAACTAAGGAATCCCTCTCCTATATTCTATAAGAGTCAGAGTTTTATTACAGTGAGAATTAGATCTGTATTTTAGAAATACATTGATAGTAGTTACCCATTAGTGGGTTGTAAAATCAATTTAAGGTTTTTAATAATCAATTTATAAAATAAGTCATATATTTGACATCATTGCAATTCACTAGTGAAAGTATGGTTTCATGAAATGTTTGTAATAAATACAAGTGTTTGTCTAGAGACGTGTTGGTGTAGTGGGTTGTGATATTAAATGTATTTGTTACACCAAATTGCAGTGAAAATCTCAACTTTTTTCCCAGAAGATGACCTATAAAACTAGAGATGAGTTAGGAAGCTCTTTCACTCTTTTGGTTTTAGTGGTAAAGTAAACTATATAACTTGAATATGTTTCTGCTGTGCATACCAAGGAATGCTACCTAAAATACAGCGCAAAATGCATAATAACTGAGTGATCAAAAATGTAAGTGAAATATTTAGGTATTAGGAATGAATAACCAAAAAATAGTAATGAGCACGTGAGCTGATACTGGGGTTTCAGGGTATTAGAAAGGAGGTCAGTGGTTGGTTTTCTACATTTGTGGTCTTTGGTTTTAACTACAAGGTGTTAATACAAGGGCTGTGAGGTGTTCTGCAGTCAGTATAAGGCTGTAGTGAGGAAGTGAGCCTCTCTTCATAGGGTCTAGGTTGAAGAAAATTCTAAGAATTCAGAACTATGGTTCTGTACATCATAATGGTGTGAAATTCAGACTCTTAGTACTCTAATTGTCTTGGAACTTACTGTCTAGGGAATGGATGTAAAGATTTGGTCCCAAGTCAGTTGTTGAGGTACTTGGCACAAACCAAGCAGAACCATCCTGGAGTGGTAAACTCCTTTCTTACCTTCGCCTTCCTCTCTCTCCCTTCCCCTTTCCCTCTATTTTCCCTCTTCTCTTTTCTTTCCTCTTTATACCACTCTCTTGTTTCCCTCTCTCCTTGTTTTCTGGAGACAGAATGTATAGTCTAGGCTGCCCTTGAACTTGAAGTCCACCTGCCTCAGTTTCCTGAGTACAGACATTTGTCCCCATGCTTGGCTCGAAGTGGTCCACTTTGAATCCAAGCTCCACACACCAAGCTCCACACTTTCTCATTAAGAGGAATCCAGCCACCATGCGTGAAAATCAGCTTGCACAGTAAATTGCAGAGGTGCATTTCTCCCAAAACTACCAGATAGAACTCTCTGGTAGTGGCCATAAATCAGTTTTCTTAAATAATTAAAAACAAAATCTGAAAGCTCTGAGAGGAAATAACGTGAAACTGATAGAGAATTTATGGAAATAAAAGTCATTGAAATTAAAAACCATCCATAGGTTAAACTTAGACCCAAATGATAGTTATTGAATTTGTTGATGGCTCAGGAAATTTAGAATGCAGCAGAGAAAAAGAAATTAGAAATATGAAAGTGGAATCAAGTAATGGAAAATACAAAAGGTTCTTCATATTGCTAATGAGTCCCAGACATAAAGAGTAGAAATGATGAGGGAAAGACAATAATAAAGACAACATGGTGATTGAGCATTTTCCAGAAATGATGAAAAACAAATGTTAGTATTAGGAATCTGAAACTAAAACAATCCACATGTTGATACTTTAGAGTGAAACTGCAGAACCCCAGAGGCATAAGGTTCAGGCACATTGTAACGGCTTTCATACTGAGTCCTCCAGTGGTGGAGGATGTAAGAGGAGAGAGAGGGGACACATTTCTGAAGGCCTCTCTTGCAGCAGCATTAATTCATCATGAGAGCAGAGCCCTTTACACTTCCACACCTAAAGGCGCGTCCCAGTATGGTTGCACCGGGGATTAAGTTTCAACCCCTGAATTTTGGAAGATACCATTGGACCACAGCTCTGAGACTTCTAGTCTGCTATCTTAGTAGTAGTGATACCTCATTAAAAATTGGTGAAAAGTTTTGGGGGTCATTCCAAGGACTCCAGAGAATAATCATTATCTCAGACTTGTTGAATAACTGGTTCATCAACCTGTGGCTACCCATAGGTAGTTAGAAATACCAGTTCAAAGTATAGAAAACTAAACATAGACTCTGTGCTTTTTTAATGCTGGTCTGAAACTTGTAGGTTTAGTGATCGTCCTGCCTCTTGGTCCAGGTTAGCTGGGAGGTGTGCACCACTGTGCCGGCTCCGTGGGTTATATTTTAAATGATTATTGAAATCATGAGATGCTAAGGGATAGAGTGCAAGGTGAGTGGAGACAGCGACGCAGTTTAGAACTTGGAGGATTGTGCCACTTGAAGTAGGCACAGAATGGCACGGTGGTACGTGCCAGTAATCCCACCACTGAGGGAGGTCCAGGCAGGAAGATCACAAATTCAAGTCCCATTTGGGCACCTGAGCAAGATCCTGTCTCAAAATGAAAAGCTAAACATGGCTGGGAGTGTAGTTTAGTGCTAAGGCCCTGGTTTGATCCCTAGCACCAAAAAAAAAAAAAAAGACAAATTAAATTTAGTGAGAGTTGATAATTGGACATCATGAAAGAAGATGGAACCCTGTGTATTCATAATTTAGTGTGCAACAGTTTATCACGTTAGAAATGTTTCTAATTCCTTGTATATTTTTCTGTTTTTGAAGGCAGTGGAAGGCTATTTGCTCCTGTTATTCTGAGAAAGTAATGCTTGTTAAATGATGAAGCAGTTTCTTACGCCACTCTCCTGGCTTCCACCAGATGGACCTCTTTCGAAGTTTTCTTTTTTCCAGTGCCTATTCTTCCTTCTTTTTTCCCCTTTGCTGACTCTTCTTCTGTGTTTGTTCATTGTTGCAGCTTTCTCTTTTTCATTTACTCATGAAAATCCAGACTAATGATATTATTTATCTAGAGTTTGTATTGAAACATCAAAATTCTTGGTAGGGCCAGGGATGTAGCTCAGCAGTGCTGTGCCTGCCTGCCAAACACAAGGTCCTGAGTTTGATCCCAGTCCTGGGGGGAAGGAAGTTTGTAGGCAGTGGAGGAATGTTACTCTGTTAAACAGTTTCTCCTTTCTTAATTCCTAGAAAGAACATAAAAAAGCAGCAGTGTGAAGCCGTCGTGGGAGCCCAGTGTGGCAGCGCGGTGTTAAGAGGAGCCCATGTCTACGTTCCAGGGATTGTGTCAGCTTCCAGCTGTAAGCACTGTGAGGTCTAGGGTTCTAAAATACATGTGTACTATCAGTGGGGAAATTTGCCATGTTTAAATTGAGATGCTGGTTTTACTTTTGTTAGATAATTTCCAAGCTTTGCACTTAATACAGCCAATAAGGATTTTATCTGATAAGGATTAACAGCTAGGCATGCACATAGAAAAAGTTTTCTGTGATTTGTTTTTTGCTCCTAGACATGTAAGGAGCAGGTGCGAACTGCTGCTTGTGTACGATTGTTGTCCCTCAAGATTCCCCTTCTACCAAAAGCAGATTAGTGTACCCTGATCTTCTCCTTCCTCTAGTTATGAAAGCTGGAGATGTTATTTCCGTATACTCTGATATTAAAGGGAAATGTAAGAAAGGAGCCAGAGAATTTGATGGAACAAAAGTGTTTCTTGGAAATGGGATTTCTGCACTAAGCCGCAAAGAAATCTTCAGTGGACTCCCCAGACTGAGGTGTGTATGTCACTGAGTGTTGTAGGAGAAATAATCTTGCTTTCTGTGGTTCAAGAAAATTAAAAACAAGGTAAAAACGCATATCTGGTTGCATTATATGAATAAATCTTGAAATTCACCTGGAAGAATATCCATATTTCCCACGATTTTTTGGAAAGAAATCTTTATAGTTTGTAAAGGGTGAATGGTGAGATTAAAAAGCCTGATTAAGAGTAGTTATGATAAGTATGATAGGGCTGAGGATTTAGCTCAGTGATTCCACTGCCTGCCTTGCAAGTGCAAGGACCCAAGCTCGATCCCTGGTACCAAAAAAAAAAGAGTAGTTATGATAGGGCCGGGGATTTCCGCCACCTGCCTTGCAAGCACAAGAAACTGAGTTCAATTCCCAGTACCAAAAAATAATTAAAAATAAAAAAGACTAGTTATGACACAATTATTAAATGACTTTACTTGTCCTTTTGAGTTTTATTGATTTGAAAATTTTTGTATCTTTGAAGCACAGTGCTTATCTTGATAGTGAACTAGATGACTCATGTAGATCTTTTTAACATTTTGATTAGAAAAATTTATAATTGTAATATAAATTAAAAGTAATTTTACCAGAAAGCTAGGCCTCATGTAAGCAGTTATGGTCAAAAATGAATGTTTGGATTTGTTTAAGCCAAATTAACATATACTTGCTCCTAAATCATCTCTAGCCACTTGTGGCTCTGAATAAATCCACAGACAAACTGGGCTCGTATTTTACTTGTTTTAGGGGTGCTGTAGACAGCATCATTGCTCTGAAGTTAACAGCCAGTGAAACAGGATTCAGTTTGTCCAGAACTGGACTGTGTCCCTGATCCTTCGAACAGTGTCCCATGTGGCAGAAATTTTTTGTGTGTGTGTAATTGAAATTAATTCTTCTAAAGAAACAAATCACTGGATCTGGATAGCAATGGGGTAGGATAGAGGAATATTGACAAGGTAGAAAGAAGACTAGGAAATTGAGGTTTTAAAATTGTACTTTTGGGAAAAACTGCAGCTTCACAACAAACTCTCTTCCTGCTTCTGGAGGCCACCCTGCCTTGTGACACCCCACCACCCTCCTGTCCGGACAGAAATTTCTAAAGGCCCTTTAGTAAAGTAGATAACCTGTGCATCCCAGAGCACTAGGCCCTTTTCACCTACAGATTGCCCTTTCCTGCCACCCAGAAAGCAGCTGCTTTGAAGACAGCACATCTCCACATCGCACCTGTATAGAGTGGAGGGCGGGCACTGTCACCTGGCAGTCAATGGGCATGCATGTCCGAGATCCTGGCCTCAAACTTGCAGTCCTTCTGCCTCCGCTTCCCAAGTGGCTAGGCTCACAGGAATTGTTTGTTTGTTTGTTTTTGGTACTGGGAATCAAACGTGGGCCCTTGTGCTTGTGAGGTAGGTAGTAGAACAACTGAGCCAAATTCTGGGCCCTAGGCTCACAGGAATTGCACTGAGGTGCCAGGCTCTGAATAATGTTTTCTTTGTTCGTGGGAGTACAATGCAGCCACTTTGAAAAAAAAAAAATTGTTGGCTTCTTCTGATGTTATATTTATGTTCTTTCTTCCCTTTGATGGTCTCTGGTTACCTCTCTCAGACTGCAGAGCTTGTTTTTAGGGAATCACTGTACCCCCATGCCACCCTTGGCCTGGCCCTTCCAGTTTTTATCAGCAACACTGCTACTCATGGAGTGAAACAGAGGTGGAAAAGGTCGTCTTCCTGTAGTGTCAGCACTGGACAGTTACTCTGTAGCGTGAGAGGAGAGTGGTACTGTGCTTGTCAGTGCTTTGCAGTAGCCAGGAGTCCAGGTATTTTTTTCAGTTTTCATACAAGCACCGGGTGTAGCACCCTGTAAATTCAACACTCGTGAAATGTTTGTTGACCAGAAAGGTAGTAACAGGGTCATGGATGGGTTACTGGAAAGATTAGGAGACATCTATAATTGGATGTTCTTTGCTTTTTAATTTATCCAGAACTCTAAAGAAACTCTTGTGCCTAAGTGAAAGAAGTTTTGTCTCTTTATCCTTTTTAGTTCTGATGCCCTCTCCTACTTGTGATAAACATTCAAAACCAGTTCACAACACTGTTCTAAGTATTTAGGTGTTAACTAAAAGTTTTTATACTTGATGTGCTGTGTGGGTATGTTCTAGAAACATATGCTATGTAATCGATGCAGATTCATGTTAGATTTCTTGTTTTTCAGAGGTGTAGGCATAAAAATGACGGAACCCATATATCTCAGCCCCTCGTTTGATAATGTACTGCCCAGTTACTTGTTTTTACAGGTAAGAATTTTACCCCTTATATTGGTGCATTTTTATGGTTTGTTTTTACATACTGTATATTATGATCTACCTTTTGTTAAACAGAGAAAATTCTACAAGTACCCTTGTTTTTTTTTGTACCAGGAATTCAACTGGGAGCTTGCCAGGCAGGCTCTGAGCCTCTAGTTATATGCCCTGTATGCTGACTTTTAAGCTCCTGCTTACCTATGTACATATTTGATATCCATGTAAATGATCCTTTTGTAATTCTAGGATTCAAATGTGTTACTGTTAGCAGATATTTTTTCAGTAGTTACCAGTTGCTGTGACAAAAGAAGTCATGTGTTTTGTTTTTACCAGTGGAAGTACTTTTACGGACATAACTCACTTGATTTCTTTTTTCAATCTGTTGGTCGGGTGATATTAGTAATATTTCCAGTTTAAGACAATGATGCTGTAACTGGGTGTAGCTTTTGCGTTCTTGTTTTCGGGCAGCAAAGCGTGAATCTCAAAACAGCAAAGAGCAGGGGTGGGGAACGGCCAAATGTGTGTTTATTAGAAGAAATAAAAGAGCAGCTCTCCACTCGTTGGAGAGGGGTGTTGCATAGGATGACACAGGAGATGTTTGGGTCTGCTGGGTTTTATACAGGCTTTGGGACTTGGGTAAGGTGATTGTAGGTGGGCCTTTGATATCTGGAAAGCAAGCTATTTTATTTGCATTTCTTTCAAGGCCTCTCTCTTTTGGGTGAAGACCTTTTCTTGTGTCTCATTTCATTAGATCCTGACAGTCTGTTTTGGTGTGGTAATTTACTTAGGACCCCAACTGTTAATTACTTTAAGGTGGCTATTCATGACCCCTACCCTTTCTGCCTAAATCCCTGTATCTTCTGGCTTTGTTCTGCCTTGTAGTAGCGACACTGACTGCTGTGGGGGTGCAGAGGGGAGGAAGGGTCTCAGAAGCTCCTTCCTGCTGGGAGGGGGCATTGTTAGTGAAGGTAGAGCCCACTGCTGTGCGTCCTGAATACAAGCTAGAAAGAGCACCTGTGGGACTCTGTTTGCATCACTATGTGTAGCTTTAAAGTTGTCAAGTGAGAAGAAACATCTGATTAATTGAGAAGACTAAATATCGAGAAGTCTAAATATCTAGGCTACAGGAAGCATCAGTATTGGTCCTGCTAGGCAGAGTAATCAGAATGCCAAATTTTAGATCCCTGACCATGATCTCTGTGACTTAGATAATTTAATTTTTGTGTTTTATCTCTCATTTATACCAGACCAGTTGGCATAAAAGCGACATTTTTTCTTTAGAGATAGTTTTATATAAGCATGTAAATCCTTAACTGTAATGTAAGGCTATTGAATCAAAGGCCCTGTGTTTTAGAAGGAGTGGAAAGGGTAGGAGAAAGGAAAGAAGGGAAAAGAAGAAATACGTGAAAAGGAAAAGAACAGAAACAAAGTCTTTGTAAATAGGGAAGAATGGAGGGGTTGAAGAGAGGGCAGGGGAATGGGGAAAAAATGAGAACTGAGATACATCATGTAAAGGTACGAATTCCCAATGATGGATGTAACTGTATTGTATACCTAAAATGTACCGATAAACTTAATGAGTAGAAGGATAATCTTAGCTAAGTAATTCAAAGATTTCTATTGAGCTTTTATAGATGTGTCTTTTAAAACTTTTTGAACCAAAATAGTGACAACTTACAGGTATAGCTGGACACTGTCAGCATATAGGACTTGGAACCCTTTTGTATGTTTACTCTTATTAATATTTTTATGTATGTTTATTATACTTTCTTGCTGGGCATGTAAGACCAAGTTTAAGTGAGAGCACTACTTAGAATTAACCTTATGATATATGTTAGGTCCGTTAAGACTCCACAGGAGTTACTTTTGGGGTCCTAGGCAGAGCCCCTTAGCTCCTCTGCCAGAATGGGTCACAGTCTGTGCTGGACCGTGGGACTCTGCTCGGAAGCATGGGAACATTTTTTCCTTTAGTGGCCCTCCTCCTAGTATGATGCACACTGCTTGACTTTTGTCCTCCTGGGTCCAACAGTCAGTCTCCTTGTTCAGGAGGTTGGGCGACTTGCTAAAGCTGTAGGGTCCTATTGAAAGGTCCCCTTGTGTCCTGGGTCTTTGTTGACCTTGGAGGGCCAGAACCAAAATGATGCTTGTGTTTTAGCCAGTTACATACTTAGCATCAGTTATTTAGCATCAGTTATTTAGCCTTAGTCGTTAAATACCTAAGAAGTCTCTTGTACCAGTGTTGAAGCAAGAACAGCTGTGATTGTCTTGGCAGTCAAGTTTTCATCAAGTAGTTTCAGATAATGGTATTACATTTTTATAGGGAGAATTTAAAATCAAAAGCACAGCACAACATTTCAGCACAATTATGTTGACACCATGAATGGTGAACCATGGGCTTTTTAAAAAAAATTACTGTATTGTAAAGAGCAGGGAAAGGGGACATCACTAGAATCTCTGCAGTAAATCCTAGTCTCCTGTGAGTCTCGACAGCACAAGGCAAATTCACTTATACTGGAAAGGTAGGAAAATAGAGTCTTTGAGAAGCAGCGGAGCATGCATTTCAGTGCTGCTCTGGGGAGCAAAGAGGAAAGCCCCGTAAGAGACACAAATGTAACACATGACTCAGGACTGAGAGTTCGGTAGTCTGGAGAAGGAGATACAACAGATGACTGGGGTTGGGGGCACAAATCTAGAACAGTGCAGAACTCTGCAGATGAAGAGTGTGTTCCTCCCAGGCCGTCTACAGTAGGTGCATCCATCACCAGACCATGGACCAGAGGCCGAAATGGAGCCATGTCTCGACATGCTGTAGCCAGCCTGTGAGCAGGAGAACTAGGCCTAATCAAATGATTTTTTTTCCACAAAATTACGTAGAGTTGCTCCCCACACTGTATATTTTTGTATAGACTGTATCTTATCTCAGAAAAGAGCTGTAGATTGTTAGATGGAATATTTGTTTACTATCGCTTCTTACTGCAAAACCAGGTGTGAAGTTCTGTCCTTCTGTAACAAGGCTGATCTGTACAGTGTGGCTTGCAGAACTTAGGACCATCTCTCCATGCAAAGAAAGCCTGTGTGTAGGGCACTTTAGGGCTGCTACTCAAGCTTTGTCTGAAGAGGGGTCCTGTTTCACTAGCTCAACTCGTAATGGAGGCTTAAGACAGGGCTTCTAACAGTGTCATCTCAGGTTACTGTGGGACAGGATACCAAGAGATCACTGAGAGAGAGAGTTTTACCTCTCCTCTCACCGAGGAGTGCAGGTAGGCATGATAGACAAGTGGAGATTTTTCTGCTGTTACCCAGTTGGGCCGTCGGGACCCAGTTTCTACTGAAGAACCTTTGACCACCAAGGATTGCCTGGCCACGGCCCCTCAGTTGTCTTCTCAGCTGTCCCTGTTTCCACGTAGCCAGAGGTCTCTCTCTGGAAGGGAATCCAGCTGCCTGCCTGGCCAGCATATGGTTCTTGGCTAAGGTGGTGTAACCAGCTTCTTGTCCCCCTGACCACCTTACTCTCTCTGCTTGTTTTGGGCAAAGATTGAGCCCAACAAAACAGCAGGCGGCAGCAGGGAGTGACTGAGTGAATGTTTATTAGGAAGAACAAGAAGACCCTGCCCTGCTGTCGGGGAGGGGGGTTTCCTCAAGGTGGAAAACTGTAGTGAAATAATGTAACTCTCAACCTGCTAGATGTCTGATTCTCCGAGTTCATGTTCCCAAAATCAAAGAAGGAATTCTGAGGAAAAATGGAGGTTAAGAGTAGGCCATATTTATTGAGGGGGAAAGATATAGCTCCTGAGAGACAGGAGGGGACCCTGCTGAACAGGGGAAGTTTTCTAGAGCAAAATCACGAGGTGGGCAACGTGGGACAAAACTATGATGAACCAATCTGATGACAAGTATAGCCACTTAGGTGACACCAATCCATTGGGGAAGAGGTCGTGTCAGAAGTGGACATGAAAGAACAAAGAACTTTTAGGAAAGGGGAATCTGGAAGCCTTGCTCACCCACCCGGGTGACAGGTGTGTATGTAGACTTTATTGGGCCCTTCGGGAAGTGTGCAGGCCTGGTCATTTCGTCTTTATCTTGAGGCCGGGCTTCCAGCAGATGCACCTCTGGCCACAGTTGTGATGTGTCTTCATCTTCTGCTCTGACTTTCTCGAGGGCCTGTCCTTGTCTGACTGCCTATAGTATTTCTACCTAACTTAGCTGTCTGTAGTATAGGGGCTTTTATGCACTTTTATACGTAAGGACTTATGACTCATCTTTGGTTTTTCTGTTTGCTTAGCATTAGTTTTTTTTACTTCTGGTGTAATCTGTTTTTAAGCACTTGTGATCATTTGATAACATAGCCCTGAATCATTGCTGGTGATGTGCGCATTCCTCATTAGCAACAACTAATGCAATATTATTTATCCCCTTTGCAAAATAAAGGGCCACATACCTGCTTATCTTGTATTTAGTTTTGACATTGGAAAATAAAAGCCTAGTACAGTGCAATTTGTTTTTAACATTTCTTGCTACCTATAGCAGCATCAGCCTCTTTTCCTCACCTTTAATCTTAAAAATCAGCTTAATGAGATATAAATTGTGAGATACATTGTGATTCATAATGTTCCTTGCCATTCTATGACAAGGAAGTAAGACTTTGCTGTTGGAGTAAAGCTCTTATGCCTGAGGTGGAGCTTAACTTTTCGTCACTGCCGTAGTGGAAGCTGTTTATGTAAGCTATCTGGATGTCCAGTCATTGGCCAGTGAAACTTATTAAAGTGGTAAGGGGTGTAGTTGCTAACACTGAGTGCTGTGCTGAGTATTGTATTCAGTCTTCCATGCACTTCTCGCAGACCTCTGATTTCACACATAAGGGAATGGAGGCTTAGAAAAATGAAGTACGCAGCACACAATAGGCAGCTAGTACTTTTCAAGTTGTAAATGAATGATTAGATGAAGGCCACATCCGTAGAAATCAGCAAAGCCAAAATTTGAGGCTAGGCCTGTTT